GGGGGGGGGGGGGAACGCGCAGATCTGCCCTCACAGAGGAGGGAGAGCTTGTACCTGAATAAAACTTGGTCTTAAATGTGCCACGGGACTGTTTTGGGCCGGGGGACCGGGGGCTCTGCAACTTATCTGGCTGCTTCTTGCTCTGACTGAGGGCTGCTGGGAGCAGGGGGCGGGGCTTGTTGCATTTACCCGCCCCCTGGGCTCCTTACTGCCGGAGCTCCGCTCCTGTGCGCTTTTTGCAGGAAATGACCCCTGCAAATAACGTAAATAATAAACAACTGCCGTGCTCCCCCCCCCGACCCACCTTCATCGTGATCGCTGTCACTGTCGGTCTCCTCCTCCTCCTCCTCCTCCTCCAGGCAGGCGTCTTCCTGTTCCTGCTGGACCTGCAGCCTCCGCTGGATGATGTCTTCCTGGTAGGAGTCCAGCAGGACCCCCGACAGGGAGCAGGCAGCCTCCAGCTTGCCGCCGCCCAGCTCCTCCAGCTCCTGGTCGCTCAGGTACTGCCCGATGTAATGCTCGTAAAGCAGCGGGTCCCGGGAGCGCATCTGCTCATCGCTGAAGTATTCCCCACCTGCAGAGGGGTAGAGAGACCGGCCTGCGACACCTCGGACAAAGCAGGAAGAGATTCCCGGCTGGTGTGTGTGTGTGGGGGGTCGCGGGTGCCTTCCGCGGGTGCCTGTCTCCGTTTGCCCACGCACGAAGCGACTTCCGACTGAGTCAGACCCTCAGCCTGTCAACACGGGCTGGCAGCCCCTTTCTCAGCTCGGCCGCTGAATCACGGCCCTTCCCTGAGGCACGGGGATGGTCACTGGCTACGAGATGGCTATGAAATGGGATTCGACAAATTCACGAAGGGGGGGGATGTCTGCCGGCGACTCTAAGCCACGAAGGTTCCACAAACGGAACCTGTGTTTTGCACCTGCTGCGAGGGACAGGGGGGGTTAACTGTGCCAGCGAGGCGTTTCCTTTGTGAACACATGAAAATGCCTTATACCGTATCAGACCCTTGGTCCATCAAAGTCAGTATTGTCTACTCAGACTGGCAGCCGCTCTCCAGGGTCTCTTTCCCATCACCTCCTGCCTGGTCCTTCTAACTGGAGATGCCGGGGATCGAACCTGGGACCTTCTGCATGCCGAGCAGATGCTCTGCCACTGAGCCACAGCCCCACTTCATGGCTCTCCAGGGGCTCAGGCGGAGGTCTTCCCCATCCCCTCCTGCCTGGTCCTTCTAACTGGAGATGCTGGGGATCGAACCTGGGACCTTCTGCATGCCAAGCAGACGCTCTGCCACTGAGCTACAGCCCCCCTTCATGGCTCTCCAGGGGCTCAGGCGGAGGTCTTTCCCATCCCCTCCTGCCTGGTCCTTCTAACTGGAGATGGCGGGGATCGAACCTGGGACCTTCTGCATGCCAAGCAGATGCTCTACCACTGAGCTACAGCCCCCCTTCATGGCTCTCCAGGGGCTCAGGCGGAGGTCTTTCCCATCCCCTCCTGCCTGGTCCTTTTAACTGGAGATGGCGGGGATCGAACCTGGGACCTTCTGCATACCAAGCAGATGCTCTACCACTGAGCCACAGCCCCTCCCCTAATGCCTCCAATCCTAGACACGCCAGGACCAGGACTGGAGGGCCCAGGCTAGCCCGATCTCATCAGATCTCAGAAGCGAAGAGAAGAGAAGGAGAGAAAAAGAGGAAGAAGAGATTGGATTTACACCCCATGGCCCTTCACTACCTGAAGGTGTCTCAGAGCGGCTGACAACCTCCTTTCCCTTCCCCTCCCCGCAACAGACACCCTGTGAGCGGTGCTCCCTCTAAGCTGTGGAGTCTTGTGAGCAAAGAATTCTACTTTGTGAGCTACTGGCATTAAAGTTGTGAGTGGGCGATTTGGCTCCTGCATAAACCTCTGCATAGGGAGCAGAGGTCCATCAGTGGCTATTAGCCACCAGGTATAGATAGGGGCTCTGGGGCAAGTGATGCTCTGTCTTCTTGGTGTTTGGGGGTGGGGGCAACAGTGGGAGGGCTTCTAATGTCCTGGCCCCACTGGTGGACCTCCTGGAGGCACCTGGTATTTCTGGCCACTGTGTGACACAGAGTGTTGGACTGGATGGGCCGTTGGCCTGATCCAACATTGGCGTCTCTTATGTCCTTAAGTTCTTAAATTTGTTTGCTCCGGAGCCGTCCTTCCTGAGCGAAGAAAAAAATCTGTGAGCTGGAGGCTAAAGAAATGTGAGCTATCTCACACTGATTCAGCTTAGAGGGAGCACTGCCTGTGTTGGAGGTGGGGCTGAGAGCACTCTCTCCAGGACTGTGACTGACCCAAGGTCAGACCAGCAGCTGCATGTGGAGACGTGGGGGATCGAACCCGGTTCTCCCAGATTAGAGTCCGCGCTCCTAACCACTACACCGCACCGGCTCCCAAGTGAGACAACAGAAAAGAAATTAAAGAGAGAGTCGCGAAGAAGCTATTTGGAATTCAACGGCAGAGCCGGGGACAGAACCCGGGAGTCCTGGCTTCCGCCGACAGACCGCCAACCACCCTCCTGCCCTGAGAACAAAAGACGGGGATCCAGGCCTCGGTACCTCTGATGAGCTGCTGCAGCGCCGCGTACCGCTTGTTCCGCACCCGGGTGTGGCGCGTTTTGCCCAGGCCTGCCCGGCGCACCTCGGTGCAGTAGAAGTCCGCCTCGTAGTTGCCGGAGAGGTGGCGGAAGCAGGGGAGGTGATCTTCATGCAGGGCCGTGCGGAAGCGCTCTAGGAAGACCAGGGGCTTGGCGTGGTACAGCTCCCGTAAGATGGCCAGCTTCTGCACGGGCGTGAAGTCCGGCTCGTCCTTCTGCTGGCTGCGCACTGCCAGGCGGCTGCTGGCCACAGCGTGGAACATGGCTAGCAGAGCGGGGTCGTCGTCCTCGGCGGGTTGAGGAGGAGACCGTCCTGGGTTGACGGACTCTGGCTTTCTACAGTGCCAGTGACGGAGTCTGATGTCACAGTCCTCCTCCTCTGTTTCCTCCTCGGCGGTGTCGTCGGCTGCAGCCACCGTCTCGAACTTCCTATCACCCAGGTGGGTTGGTTTGGCGTCTCCGCTCATGTTCCCCGCAGCCGGGATCCCAGCTTTCAATTCAGCGCACAGGGAAAAGAGAGAGAACATATTGGCGGATCCATACTTGCCCGCGGGGAAAATTGAGCCTGCGTTCCAGGGCTGCGCTTCGTTAGGACGGGACGTTTTAGAAACTCTGTTTCTGTCTGAAGGGCCGCTCTGCAGGGCTGGCGTTCCAGACATCTCCTCCCCCCACAGGGGCTGGTGCCGGGGGGAGCAGTGGGCCCCCTGCGAGCCGTAGGAGCCCGAGACGTCTGCCATCTGTTCGGCCCCATGGGAGGCCCGCGACGACATAGCACTACTTTTGCCACCCTTTGGAATTTCGACTGTCTCTTGCGCGGAGCAAAGGGGTCTAGCAGATCCAGTCTTGGTAGAAAAACAGCTCTCTGGGGTCTCCAAAGCAGCAGGGTCGTCCAGTTTCCCTCGTTCCACGTTCTTCAAAGAGTTAACATCTACAGAGACAGAATCACAGAGTTGGAAGGGACCTCATCTAATTGTTGCTTTTAAATCTCTGGCCAGATGATGATATACCTAATACTAGAAAACAATTGATCAACATATTAATAACAGCTGCCAAGGTTACTGTAGCCAAATGCTGGAAAGACAATCATTCTCCTAGAATAGAATTTTGGTTTCACAAGATATGGGACTTTTTCATGCTTGAAACGATATCTATATATAACTCAAATGACCAGAATGAATGTGAAATATATAATCCCTTAGGAAAATGGTTCCCCATGATAGAAAAAATAACCTTTGATAACTTTAACTGGGAAAGCATCAATAAAGCTCGATATAAAATAATGACAAGTTATAAGTTTATCACTCTGTATTCTGTATTCTGAAAGAATGTAAGTTGTTATGAGATAGAAACCTTATAGTATCCTTTTCTTCTCTAAGTGAAGCAACCTATATTTGTGTATTATAATGTTGAATTCTGTATTCCTTTTGAAAAAGAATAAAAATTGTTTTTGGGGAAAAAATCTAGTCCAACCCCCTGCACAAGGCAGGACATTCACAAATACCTCCCCCTCCACACATCCTTGTCTTTATCACATACAACATCGTGGGTGTGTAAAGCTCCAGGAATTACCCTTGGGACAAGGCAGCTGGAGTAAACCGTAACTTGAAAACCAGATATTAATATCTGGAGAGGAATCCCAAAACCAGACTGCTGGGAACCAACAGTAACCAAGAAAACCAGAAGTGTAACTCCCCAGAGTTCCAGATGAATGTATGGAGCACATTTATTATGTCTGTTTATTGCCGTTATTTCTTAACGTTAGGCACCGAGGAATGACTGCTATTGTGAATGAAGATTTATGTACCTCTCGAAAAAGGGTATTTTCCAAAATGGTCTGAATCATCGATCGCATTACCGTCGAGAAGAGGAGAAGTGACTCAATTGCCACTTCACTTCTTTGATGCGGAGCTCTGGCAGTAAGGAGCCCAGGGGGCGGGCACATGCAACAAGCCCCACCCCCTGCTCCCAGCAGCCCTCAGTCGGGCCACGAGGAGCAAGAAGCAGCCAGGTAAGTTGCAGAGGGGGCCCCCACCCTCCTTCAGGTACAAGCTCTCCCTCCTCTGTGAGGGCAAATCTGCGCGTCCCCCCCCCCAGCTAACAATCCAAAAGAGTCCAGTGGCACCTTTAAGACCAGGTTTTATTCAGGTACAAGCTCTCCCTCCTCTGTGAGGACAGATCTGCACGTCGTCCCCCCCCAATAGCTAGCAATCCAAAACAGTCCAGTGGAGCCTGAATGGTGGGTGTTGCCTTCTGACACACTTCCGGTGATGTCAGGGGGTGTGGCATATGCAAATGAGTTATGCTAATGAGTTATGCTAATGAGCTCCTGCACCTCTTTTTCTACGAAACGACCCGTGCTCATGTCTATTATGTATTTTTCATGGCTAACTTTGAGGCTAATTTGGAAAACTGTGTTTCTATGTTGTTATGAAGATACTATTTTATTTAACATTCAATTTTTCTAGCAGTTTTGGAAAATGATTTCGTGTCTCTGGGGAGTTATGCTTCTGGTTTTCTCAGTTATCAGTTCTTCCCGTCCTTGTCTTCTTACTCCAGGAACCAACAGTAGATCAGGTGTCCCCAACCTTTTGTGAGCCTGCAGGAAGCTCTGGGCTTCTGACACAGCGTGGTGGGTGCAGCCACAAAATGGCTGCAGCAGGAGGCGGAGCCAGCAACAAAATGGCCACCGTGGCTTATCTTCAGTCACACAGTGAAGATCCTTGTGTTGTGGTAGCAGCTGCCGCCAGATCGGCAGAGCCTATCAAATCTCCAATGGTCAATTAGAAGCCTTGCTTGGCAAAGGCCCCACCTCGTCCCACACACTTTCTGAAAACACTTGGTGGGCACCATGTTGGAGACCCCAGAAGTAGATGAAAACAGAGGCGCCCAGCTCTTTGACGACACACGTGATTTTGCATGGGATATTAATTTATTATCCCCTTTGAGGAAACTATTTTGCACTGGAGTTACCGCAAATAAGCCTTCTGACTGATTTTGATACCCTGGCTCGAAACATAGGTCCAAATCCCATTTCAGTCAAGCCCTCTGCAGTGTCTCACCCCCACCCCACACAAACTGGTTACACTTTGCGTCAATAGCCGCATCACGGCAGGCAAAAACTCAACAGGGGCAGCTCATTCTGACAGAACATAATTAAATACTCCAAGTTGAGTCTCCGACACTGCTTGCCAACATCACGGGTGCGACAGTGCTCCCCCCTCCTCCCTCGGTCCCACCCTGTCTAATCTCTCTTAAGGTGAATGGTCCTTGCAGCACAGAGATGCAAGGAAGAAGAAGAGGAGGAGGAGGAGGAGATTGGATTTACACCCCGACCTTCACTACTCGAAGGAGTCTCAGAGCAACTTACACTTTCCTTTCCCTTCCCCTCCCCACAACAGACACCCTGTGAGGCAGGCGGGGCTGAGAGAGCTCTGCCGAGAACTACCCTTGAGAGAACAGCTCTGAAAGAACTTGTGACTGACCCAAGGTCACACCAGCAGCTGCATGTGGAGGAGGAGTGGGGAACCAAACCCGGCTCTCCCAGATTAGAGTTCCGCGCTCCTAACCGCGACACCAAACTGGAGAGGAAAGAACATTCCCTGATGCCTTTCTACCTGTCAAGAAACTATTAAAACGTATGAAACGCACACACAAAAAACAGGGTGTGGGTGGGAGAGAACAAAAGGAAGGCTGCCTTATCCTCCCCCTCCTGGGGGGAATAACTGAAATTTGAAGAGAAGAACTGTCAAAGGGGGAAAGGGGGGGGGAAGAGTTCAAAT